CTTGTTGCTTTACTTTTAATAGCACAGGTTGCCATGCCAACTACTGCTGCTGTTTAAAATGAAGAGGAAAAAAGAAGTGCTCCTTCCTACACGAACCTTTCAGCGGGGCTCACAATTAGTCTTTAAAAACACAAAAACTCACAGCACTGGAGATATGGTAAACATTGCGCCTCTATTTAAACCTGTCAGAAAGAGGACGTGATAAACCTTTGGTCTGTGTCTCCTTGGTACAATGCTCTTTGGCCAGCATCTGGTTGAAGAGGCCACAAGGAAAGAAAGGCACGACGTGGTGCACACAAAGGCAGCCGGTGTTGACGGGAAAGAGGCCCTGCATCTTAAAGAAGCACAAGAGAAAGGCTGGCTTTCTTGGGAAAGAGAGGCCTGCTCCCCCTTGCCCCCGTGAGCACAGTTATTAAGAGGCTGGGTCTGTACAACGCAGCACAGCACACCCACTGCACAAGGGTGCCACAGACAGGAGAGAGGAGCACGTGCTGGCAGTGACAGCAGAGGCACCCCACCCTCTGTGCTGCCTGTGGGCCCAGGTAAGCCAAGGAGAGGAACCAAGAGGCAGGAAGACATGCCGCGCCCTGATGTGTAAGTGGTAATGCCGGTTGGCGACAAGAGAAGGAAGGAAACCACAAGGACAGGGTGAGAAGGAGGTAAGACCTCTTCTCTCTCTCACAATTGACTGATGGTTTTATGAACTGTGTCCACAGAAGCTTCCACCCATGCAAAAGAAGATCTAGCAGTGTTTCTGAGGCAAAGAGGACTTGCTCACAGATGAGCCACAGGGTGACACATCTGGATCGCATCCGTAAAGGGCACACATAAAGTCTGCCAACAGGTTGTGATGCTGACAACCAGGTCCACACTTTCTTTCCAACTCCCCTCCTACCACTTCCCCATGAGAGCAAGCCCTGGGTTCCCGTTCCCCCGGGTCCAATGCCTCCGCAGCTCCGCGAGTGTAAGGATGAAGAAGGTCCCTCTCTTCCTAGACTACTTAATCCCTTTCAGGCCTTGAAGAGCCAATTCATATACCCGCTGTTCATAGTCTCCTGCTGGCACTCCCAACCAACAGACTCTACAGCAATTGGCCTGTTCCACTCACCTGCCAATTAACATGCCTTGTACTATGATGCATTCTCTAATTTGATTCTCTTTTTGTTTGTTTCTATGTGGTCTCCCTAACTAGAATGGAAATTTCTTGAAGGCAAAAGATCTTCTTGTATCCTTTGTTGCTTCCCCTGTGCCCAGTAACTCCTGTGTATACAATGGTAGTGACTGCAGCAGCAGCAGTGTACAGCTGCCACTTAATGAGCTCTAAGTGCTGGGCTCTGTTCTGAGTACTTCATACAGATGAACAAATATGCATCTCCCAACTGTCTGAGATGTACATGTGCACAATTATTACCCCCATTTAACAGGAAAAGAAACTGACGCATAGGAGGTTAATGACTTGCTGAGGCTCACACGAATGGTAAGCAGCAGACCCAGAACTCAAACCAAAGCTCTCTGACTCTAGAGCCTGTTACACACTATGTCGATGACCTGGGTTTGGGGTTGAGGAGACAGAGATGGGTGAAGCGCCAATGGCGGAGAGGAAAGAGACAGGGAATATCCACAATAAAACGTGCAGGATACTGTCCCATTCAATAAAACCTACATCATGCACACACATTTATTCATAAAGACAGATGTAAAGACTGCCTCTAAAATGTCAATGAGTAGCCAACTACCTCAGGAGAGCTGGATTCTAAGGCACTTTTCTTTCCTTTTCTATGTTTTACATATATTGTTTGGCTCTCCAAGGAGCATGCAGGACTATTGCATATGGTGGAAAGATAAACAATGAAGTCAATTTCATTATGGGTGGAAAGGAAAACAAAACAAAAGGAGAAGAAAGGAGCGAGCGTCTGTCAAATATTGCTGAACGGAAGGGTGGCATGTCTATTCCTGTGTCTTGGAAAGATCGTCCTGCTGACAGTGCAGGAAACGAAGACAGGGAAATAGAAAATATCTCTATGAGAAATGATGGTTAACAGTAATCGCTAACATTTATGGAGCTCAAAGAAAGGTAATATAGGAAATTTAAAATGCAGTTACCCTCACAGCAATGCTGTTCATAGTAGCCAAAAGGTGGAAACAACCCACATTACCATCAACTGATGAATGGAAAACAGGCTGTGGTAGATCTGTACAATGGAATACTATTCAGCCATAAAAAGAAATATTGATCCATGCGACAATGCGGATAACCTTGAAAACACTATGGTATGTGAAAGAAGCCAGACACCAATGCCCAAATATTGGCTATTTAGATTGATATAAAATACTCCAAATCAGCATCCATAGAGAAAGAAAGCGGCTTGGTAGTTGACAGGGACTTGGAGGGAGTGAGGAATGGGAGTGGCTGCTTAATGGGTGTAGGGTTTCTGACAGGGTGAGGAAAAGGTTTTGCAGTTTGAGGTGGTGGTTGCACAGTGGTATGAACGTACTAAATGCCACTGAATTCTACACTTTAAAATGGTTAAGTTCATTATGTGAATTTTACTTCAATTTAAAAAAATCCAGTGACCCTTTAAACTTAAAGTCCTAAGAAAATGGAAAGGCAGATGAGGAAAAACAAACACACACACACACACACACACACACACACCCACACACACACAAATGGATTCAGAAAAAAAAAAAAACAGTAAATGAGGAAAGAAGGAAAGTGGGACACCCAGACTAGGATATGGCCTAGGACAGACGGAGAGAGGGTCTACACTCAGCAAAGGGTGGATCTAACCCCTATCTTCAGTAACTGAGCTATCCGACCACGGCCAGGCAGCCTGGAGATGCTGTGAGCTTTCAGCTTCCTCCTGCAACATCTACCGTTTTAGTTGGAAGATCTGAGATAACACAGTTGTTGAATACTCGCTCCAATTGCCCAAGTGGTAGGCCCAGGCCAGGCTGAAGCCAAGTATCCAACCCCTGGATAAGCCCCTCAGAGCCTGTGCTGGGCCTGCCCCCGTCAGCACCTGGGCGGCAGCTGCTTGTCACACCTGGCAGCTCCAGGTTGAGGGCAGCTCTTGGGCGGGGGCATGCCTTGCTACTGGCTGTATCTCTGGCATCAATCAGAGACCCTGGCAAAGAAGAGGTGACAACACATATACGTGTTAAATAAACAGCCTCTATTTCATATATTGTGTCAGTTGATTGAGAATTTTAGTAGATAAAACACAGATCCGGTACAAAACTCCAAAGGCTCCGGCGGAGACAGTCATAAATTTGCCTTCCTCGCACCCTCCTACTCCAGCTTCTCTGGGGCAACCTGTGGCACCACTCCACTATTTGCAATGTGCCTGGGGGGCGAAGTTCTGACTCGAGGAGGCTCCCACAACCACACTGCCCAGTCATCTGGGAGGTGGGTCGCCACCACGAGATGGGAGCTACATGTGATATCAAGACAGAAGTCATCTGGGTGAAAACAAAGTCCTAGTATTCTGTGCCTGCCCCAGAACCATAGCTTGCAGAGGAATCCATGAGGGTGACAACCACCCCCGTGAGTCATCCATAGAACAATGGGAAACCCAAGGGCAGAGACCACCCAGCCAGTCAACGGGGCCAGCCACCTCAAGCTCCTCAATCCTCTTTCAGACCCAGGAAATTTCAAGCTGGGGAAAGGTGACTTTGCGACACAATGGGATGGAAGTAGATGTGTGCATACCACGCTCATCCATGCACCTAGATAGGTGTTATGTTTTGTCTGGAGGAACAAATTCACCTTAAAGGAATTCAACTGTGAGCTGGGTGGCATGGTCCCAGTGATGGGCTTTGTGGTGGACACAGCTGACAGGAATTAAGATGGTGGGGAGAAGGGGTGCCCAGGAAATCGAGGTACTGGGAGAGGTTCAATCCATTTAGTGATGAGCAACCTGGGCCAATCCCAAGGTTGGATCAAGTCCCGGGGCTGAGCCACATGTGGTGGGGGCATCTGCACACACTGCTTTGTCAGGCCGGATTGTGAGGCTGAGTAACCACTGCCCTGTAGAGTCACCAAACCCTGAGCTAAAAAAAGATTCAAGCCACGCAGGCTCATCTGTTTCCCCAAGGTTCCTGCCTAATGTGGTGATGCACTGGCAGGCTAGAGGGTGAGTCGGGCGCTTATCTGATTTCAGCCAATCTGTTACTGTATTTCATTCCCTGTCCTCGTGCCCAGAGGCTGTTGCAATGGGTATAAATTTAGAAAGAGAAAGATAAATAACATGGAAAAGTTCCTTTTAACAGAATAGGGTTTTCTCTCTCTCTCTCTCTATTTTGCTAAAGAAAAGATAAAATGATCTTCTTGTTACTTATTTAGCCTTACCGTGGTAGAATGTGATATTTTGGGCAACAACCTAATAATGCATAACCATAGCCCAAGATGAACCAGCTCCCCCTGAGACTGTGAGAGAGTCAAGCCTCCATCCTGAGCATTTCTTAGAAACTGAGGGAGTGAGAAGATGACAGCACCTTGCACTGAAATCCACGAGGGTCCCTTCTGAACAAGTAAAAGGCTCTCCAAGAAGACTGTTTACCTTCTATGAAATGCTCTATACCAGCTAACCTAACATGCTTTGCCTGGAATCGTCACTGGCAATTTCACTGTACACACTGATACTTTAAACGAAACCTGTTCTATAAGGAAATTAATATCACAGATGGGAGATTTTCAGTTGGTGGCAATTAACTGAAAGAGAAGCTGCTTGAGAAATGTTTGCCTTCCCTCACACACAAACGCACAGCCTGCTGGGTTTTGGAACCCTCATGGTAAAAGACTAGATCAATTCCATCACGTAATCATTTAGCCCAAGGCCCATTCTATAGGGAAGGAAACCAAAGTTAAGTGAGTGGCCCAAGAACACATGGCTGCCACAAATAGAGGGGGGCCAGGACCAGGTCTCACAGTCCTTCCCTGGGGTCACCATGCAACTGCCACCCACCGCCTGGATGTCAACCAGACTCAGCAGCTGTACCTCGGACAGCATGTCATACTGGCCTCTTCTTCCAAGAGCAATGGTCAGTAAGTCATAGACCACAGATGCGCTCTGCAGACTGATGAGGCGGTCACTCTTGTGTTCGGGTATCCTGCTCAGCACAGCGTCCCGGTTGGCCTGAAAAAATACGGAAGAGAGAAGCAGATGGAGAGAGAAGCTAGCGCTGTGTGGTGGGGAGGCCACCTAGGCCCTCCTGCCCCCACCAGTTTACCAAGGGAATGGAGACGAAGGCAGGAATGAGTAGAGGCCTGTCACCTTGGGTTATTTATTCAAAATCCCCTGAGCACTGCAGAACATGATATATGGGATGATCCAAATGCTGAAGTCCTGGAAGTGTGAACCTAGAGGGCACCTGTACCTGTCAGCAGGCATTTGGAGGAAGCCTTGGCAGCCAATACAAAGTTTTCCCTGGGCTCGGGTTCACAGCCAGGCTCCTGGAAAACGCAGCTGCGCTCTAGAGCAGCCGAGTCATCCATCAAGCGAGGCCCTGCTGCGCCTCACCCGTGAATCCTGCTTCTGCTCTACATTAAAGAGTGGGAGAAAATTCCCAGCCCTGCATCTCCCAACACCAAATCGTGTCATCGACTTCCATTAGTCCTGGAGATATATCTCACTTTTCCTCTATCAGCAAGCAACATTCAAATCCCCATATGACATCTTCACTGGAACAGAACACAAAGACAAATTCAATCTTGTTTAGGGAAGCACAACATAGAAATATAAGAGAAAAAAAGAAGAAAGCAGATTTTTACTTTAAAAGATATTAACACAGAGGACTCAAGAGAACACTGTCAGTTTGCTCTGCTTAGCATAGACATACACCAGGCACATTCAAACTTATTAATCTCATCTATCCAGAAATCAAAGGCTCTTTACAGCAACTTATTTCCATTACTTCTACATTTTAATTTCTCTACAGATTCCTCCAAATATGCCACATGTATAAGACTCAACAGCTAGCTCATTTTCCTTTTTTCCCTAATAGGGCGTTCAGAATCAACAAAGTTAGATTTCGCCTGCCTTTCCCCACCTCCTGCTAATTAACAGAAGTCTGCAGATCCATCTGTCCATAGGAGCAGAGAAAGGACCCCCAGTCTTTCCTGTGAAAGTGGTACATGAGGTTCCGGGATCACTTGTCCCAGCAGGCTGATGCTGATCTTCCCCCTGACATTCGGAAAGGCCGCACGCACACCTTCCCTCTCACTAATGAGACAAAATACATTTTCTTTGTGTGTGAGTCCAAGGCATTTACTTTTAGCCGCCCATCAGTACTTACTCACTTTAAAATTCCTTGCTCTTAAATGTCAAAGACAAATAAGAATATATAAGACAGGCCACTTCCTACAAAGTGAGTCATCTCTCACGGAAACAAGCCTGCTTTTGAAGATTTCATTCTAAGTTTTTCTTGTTAGGAGTCCCTTTTGAGCCCCTAAAAAAGCAGCCCTAAAGGAAACAGGGCCTATTGCAAACGGTCTCACTTTATTTATTTGCTATACATGTTCCACACTGAGACCAATGCCTGGGAGAGAACAAAACAAAAATACTCTTTATGAGAGATTTTCAAGATATACCAAATGCATGTTTTTCATTTTTAGAGAAAGTATCAGTATCTTTTGATTAAAAAGGTACAATATAGAACCCCAAACAGATCCCAGTAATAAATATCCCAGAATACTGCTTCAGTGGTATTTCTGCAAATCACATTCTAATAATCCCATTCTCGTGGGGGAAACTAATTTGATTTGTAGTTAGAAAACAGCACAATTCTAAATGATATCTTATAGGTAGAGATGCTATGGACAAATTCATGCTTCTGAGTTAAAGTCAGAACCAACAAAAACCACAATTTCCTGACGACCAAAAAACAGCAATTTTCATTTTGGTTTTGAAACTGAGCACAGTCATTTTCTGCCTAAAAACTGAAAAATCAAGAAGTCAAAGGACATGAAAAAAAGGCTTCCAAAGGCAGTCTCATTGATTTCTACCTATATTTTCTGAAGTGATTTACAGTGAGAACATAATCATTTTGGTTAGAAACCTCATCCTTCATATCCACTGATGACATCACTGGATTTCAACATCCCCTCAAGAGATTTTTCTGGAAATTAAATACCACAGAGCCAAATCTGACTGTCTCAAAGGAATCTCAATTTTTGAGTATTATTCGTTTCTATCAGTTCAGTTAAGAAGCAGAAGAGCTGGAGACATCATTCCAAAGACATCTCCACTTAGTACAAGTGTTTTAGAGATGTGGCCATGTTTTCTGAATTGCAGACTGGAATACATCATCTGGTAATAGAACATAATATTTTCAATCAGAACAGTCCAAGTAATCTAAAATGTACAGTAATCATGCTTTCAGAACTTTTATATGATAATCAACCAGTTTGCCCAAAGGGAACTACCTACCAAGGGCCCAGCTCGGGTTGAAGGAATGCTGACCAGGAGGCCAAAATGAGCTGGCCCCATGGATGGGCCAATGGAGAAGCCTGGGAAGATTCATTCACTTGAATGCCACCAAGTGCCAGCCTATGTGCTTCCCTGATTGCACCAAGGCAAGCAGAGAATGTAAATGACACCATCCTGAGTTACCAGCAGACTATCAAGGCAAGGGGAGCTGAGGGGCAACCTGCTTCTTGAGAGGAAGTAAGCCCAATAACACCAAGGAGCTTCCAAATCAAAAGGGGTGGTAACTCAAGCAGGCTTGTTCTTGTAAACATTGGTGGGCCATTCCGCAGAACAAGAACACCCAAAGTTTTAATCAAAGACGAGAGCTGCCTCTCATGAGCACGGCCTCTTCTGATCCCTCCTCCTCTCTGCACATGTACGTTATTATACTCATACTCCATGTCTAAGTCTTTTCACCTGAGTCCATTTTACACCTCCCATTAAACAGTATGTGTGGGGAGGGCAAGGAGGAAAATGCCATTTCTTGCTTTAGTTACAATTCCCTTTTCTCCTCTGGGCTGCCCGGGGTTGGGGGGTGACAATTATGGGGAGGGACAGTACAGTCTCCTAGCAGGAGCAGAAGACCACTGCATAATGCATGCATTCTGCCTGCTCCGGGACTCAGGTTCCTCATGTGTAAAATGAGGGAAGGGGACATGAGCCCTCAAGATCTTTTGATTCCAGGAGCCAGCCATTCTGCTCAGGTGCTCAGTACACATCACCTTTCTGCTGAGGAATTCACTATTACAACACACATGATCCTGAAGGTTTCAAGCCAAGACCACAGTGCCTAGTGATACACATGGCAGAAACCCAATTAATGATGAGTGGTACAATAGACCTAAAATTCGACAACCTGGCCAAACACTAAGAAAATGTTTCAAAGGAATCAGACGGTCTGGAAAAAACTCCCTCACAACAGCATGGGGAACAGAAGTGAGCTCTCACCGCCTTGGACCTTACAGTGTCTGGTGACAGCTGGAAGCTGGGATAAACAACCAGAGCAGGAGGATCAGAGTTGTATCACGTTCCTGCTGTGAAAACCAGAGGTTCATAGATCCAATACGTGACCTATCCCAAAATTCTCCCCCACACCAGGGCAAACTGAGAGGCTTGTAAAGGTGACCCTCGGGGTCTCTTTCCCCTTTTAAGGTTCCAGTGGTGGTCATTTTAGCTGTGGTTTACCTAGATACAACTGTATTAATGTTCAGCCAATACCAGGTGGATGAATAAATGAACTAAGATATCTGCTTCAAGACAGAAGATAGAGAAGCTCCAAGCTCCAGGTTAACCAAGGGACATTGCTAGCTAGTCCAGGAATTAAGAAACAACCCTCTTTTTAAACCTCTACTGTTTTTTCCCATCCAGATATACCCTGCAGAAACTATCTTCTCTCAAGAAAAAGAGTCATCATACTGGCAGAATGGCAATATCAAAAAAGGGACCACAGGGACAGGGAAAGAACAGTGTAAAAACACATTCTACTCACCATTGACTCACTAATCAGCAATAACAACAGGGCTTCTTCAGTATTTTCTTGAGGACAAAAAATGCTGCATAAAGAAAACCAATTTTGATAAATGGCAGTTTCAAAATAACACAATATATACAAATACAAGCAGAACCGAACACTAAAAGCTTCCAGAATTTTATATAATGGCCATGAAAAATACTGTATCATTTAGACACTTGAATTAATTTGCCTATTGCTATGGTAATCTATGAAATTCATACATTTTAGCTATGCATTTTAGTGGTAGGCAGAAGGGTAAAGTGAAGCTGTAAAAACCAAGTTAAAAGCCCAAATAACATATGCACCTATTACAGAGGCAGAAATTTAGATCTCAATAAATTGACGTTATCTAAATAATACAAGCTTTCTCCTAACCCATTACAGAGGTATAAATTGCAGGCATTTCACTAAACAGCAGTCTTCTTACCTCTTACCTGCTAACTGGCATATCTAGTCATTTAGATGAAATAAGAGATTAGAAGCAATTTTATAGTTTGAATAATTTCTCTAATACTGTAAGAATTTAGTGAGCTATCTTACTTAGACTCATAAATTTTATTATGGGGTAGCATGCAAGAGCTCTTATTAATCTATTTTATGGAATTTGGCTAAACTCTTAAATCTTGGATTAGAAGAAAGAGCGTTTTAAGCTCAACGTTGCTCAGGATTAGAGAATAACAAAAACCCAACAGAACCCCAACCTGTATTCTCGATAGCCTATTTTCTGTACCGTGAGCACTTGCAGCATTTTTTCTCCTGTTCTAAAGCTCTACAGTCCTTGGAGTAGAATTGTGAACATTATCACCAATTTGGTCAAACTCAGTATTTTTTCATGGAATGGAGGAAGAGTGTGCAGTAAATAAAAATCAACTTGGTTTAAAAAAAAACTCTTAGATATTTTGAAGATGATTAAGAACGACTAAGTTTATATCTTCCCAGGGACAATATTACAATTATTTCATTGAAAAGATTCCCCCACAAAATAAAAGCCAAAAAAAAAAAAAGATTTTTCAAATAATTATAAACATTTGTTTTCTTTGAAGTGCTGGCAATTTTTGTACTGCATCTTAAGATGATAAAGTGCAAGACAGAAAGAATACAGTGCCTGGTATTCTCATTACAATTCTGACATCGCTGGAGGTAAGGAAGCCACCCACAGGATGATTTCTATTGCTCTTCCAAGGCTAAAATCTTATGAAAATCCTGGCCTGAGAATGAGGAGCAAATCCTGGGACGTGCAGTAACTTGCTTCAGAAGTCAGCTTGAGACAATCTGGGATTTTCAGATGGGACACTTCTTTCCCCTAAGATTCTGAAATAGAGCCTAAAGGCCCTGAATTAAGTGTCTTCCAAACAACCACCTCAGTATGTTGCTGTTGTTGTGTGTGTGTGTGCGTGCCTGTGCATGCACACCCATGCCCAGCAATCATTTTCTGATATCCTGGCTTGTGCTTACATGCAATTGGGACCTTGCGAATAAAGCAGTAACGTGAACCATTGTGTGTGGGGTGTGTGTGTGCGCGCGTGTGCCTGCACACACGCATGCGTGCGTGTGCACAGCCATATCCAGCAATCATTTTGTGATATCCTGGCTTGTGCTTACATGCAATTGGGACCTTGCAAATAAAGCAGTAACGTGAACCATTGTGTGTAGAGTGTGTGTGTGTGTGTGTGCACAGCCATACCTAGCAATCATTTTCTGATATACTGGCTTGTGCTTACATGCAGTTGGGACCTTGCAAATAAAGCAGTAACATGAACCATTTTTTTTCAGGGCTAGCCGATTCTGCATTGACCAGACCAATTGAAAAGAAAGATAGCCTATGCTAATTGTGACTTAACATCAGTCGATTCAGTGCATGGTTAATTTCCAAATTCTGTTTGAGCCATCCAGCCTGCTTAAATGCTAGTTTGTGTTATTTTTACCATAGTTGCTAACAAGTGGCATATTAACTGAATCCGGTTCCACTTCCTCTACCCTCCCTATCTGTGGCAGGCAAGATGGGTACTCGGGAGCACTGCAAAGCTCCCAAGTCCAGCAGAAGAAGTGGGGGAAGAAAGGGTAGTTTTAAGAAACACACCTGAACAGCTACACACTGGAAGGCTCCGCTCAGTCACTATGAATTCTCTAGACCCATTTCTTGGTAATTCCTTTCCTCTTCTTTGCTCAGGGAAGTGTGGATGGAGCTCAGGGTGAATGGTCAAAAGTGCTGGGGCCTTCCTTTTGTGGCCTTCTCCTCTTTGGGGCCTAGGAGCCTCAGGAGAAGATCCTGGGGTAACCAGGCCTCAGCATTGAAAAGTGGAAAAACTGTGTGAAGGCGAAGGTCGGGGACAGAAGGGAACAAGGAGAAAACAGGGATCGGCAGGCATGAGGACAAGCTCCCAAGAGCTGGCGGGCTGGCAAAGGAGTTGGCTATGCAGGCAGCTGCTGCGCTGAGAATGGGAAGGGGCATCCTCGATTCGGCCATCCCACCAGCTCACTGGGTAACCTATAGGCAAACTGCCCATTTTCTTACTTTGGATGAATTTACTAACTCATTTTCTGATTCTACAGAAGACATAGAGAACAAGGGTGACAATTCTCAGGTATAAGTAGTAATCATCACCTTGCCAGGGCTCCTAGATAATAGCTCTTTCTTAAAAATATCCCCCAACAGGTAGAATGGTAGGAACAATCACACAAAAGAAATTAATCCAACTTTATCCAACGCATTTCATCTCTTCTGTCACCTTCAGCCACTACATAACTAATGACAAGCTGGATGTCTAAAGGTCACTGGCATCCCCTAAAACTCTATATTTAGGTGCAGGGAGGACTTGAATACTGCCAACCCATGAGAAAGTTGATTTGTAAATAATGACAACATCGATCAACTCCAAAATCTATTAATGGTCCTTTATAATTTTAATATGCCTGACTGAGATACTGCCAGGAAATTCCTGGAGAAACACAGCCTCTGAACCACAGCCAGCCACATAAGAGCAGAGGCATGGAGACCAAGAATGGCTGAAGTCCCACCCCGACCCCAAGTCACACTGTCTGCAAACAGGCCAAGGCAGAATTTACTGTCAATCCCTGGTTTGCACAGATAAGTGGGTACCAAGAAAGGAAAAGGACTTATATTGAAAATTAAGAGTGCATTTCAATTATTAGGGATCAGCTGGTCCAATGTGAGGACTATCAAGGCCTCACCACAATGCTTCCCTTTTGTGTCAATTCATATAGGTCAAAAATCTCCCCAAGACAAAGAAAGAAGGGTCCCTCATACAGATGAGGGCGAGTCCACTGAGCTACACTCTGCTGAGTGGGTCAGGTGAATCCCACATAGCACATCACCTTGCACAAATGCTTCCATGTCCCTGCTGAGAGGAGGGCCTCTCCATGACTCCATGGTGAGCTGTGTGCACCAGAGGCAAGGAGGAGACAGCCAGCCAGTGGTACAGCTGGTCATTTATACAGCTTTGGTTCGGCCATCAAGAAGTCATCCTGATGCTTCAATATCCCTCCACTTTCCTTTTGTTTTATTGCACTTTATTTATTTTTGCAAGCTGTTGAGGATTTATTGTGTCCAGGGAAGGGCCTGGCCAGTGCCTGGCTTAGGCTGTCCTGCCCTCCCCAGCCAAGACCCCTCCATTTTCCATTTTAAACAGCATCCCATCCTTACCAAAAACTTCTGCATTGGCAACCAGGAGGTTCAGATCTACACTTAGTATTCCATGATGATTACCTTTTCCTCCTAGACCTACAAAGGAGTTTATACAATGCCTGGCACTCACTAGCATTCAATGAATCTTTTCATCATCTACTTCTTGTCAATATTATCCAATATTAACCACTATCCACAATAGCTGTTTTTAATCTTCTGCTTTACTTTGTGTTAACTATCTTGTCTAATAAGTATTTAATTATTGAAGCAACCTCAAAGGCTTCTTTAAAGAAGAAATACAATGAAAAAAAAAGTATACCTGACTGACTGAAACACACACACTTAATGTAGGTTAAGAAACATGCAGGTGCAGGGGGAAAAATGAAACATGTACAAGACTCTTCGCAGAAGCACTGTTCCTATTAGCCCCAAATGGGAAACAACTCACATGGCCAACACAAGCAGAATGGATCAATATATCAGAGGACAGTCATAAAATGAAATACCTCGCAGCAATGAAAAACACTGCTATGTGAAAAAATATGGGTGAATGGTTCAAATATAAAGTTAGACAAAAGAAGTTAAACATTAGAGAGTACATAGTGTATGATTCCATGTATATAAATTTCAAAAAGGGGCCCCACTAATGATTGCGACTGAAATCAGGAGAGCACTGCCCTGGGTGGGGATGGTGGCAGGGAGAGGGTACAGGAGAGCGTATAGGGCTCCATTAGTGTCCTTTCTTCACCAAATGCTACTTACATAGATATGCTAACTTGGTGGATGTTCATCAAATTTCATACTTTTAATTTATTTTTCTCTATGTATGGTGTGTCATCAAAAAAAGCTTACTCTAAAATATAAGTAAACAGAAGCCGATACAATTCTTCACAGAAACACACAGGAGAAAAGAAAGCCAGGAAGCCTGTGACAGGTGACCCCTCTTCTCATTCCATCCAGGATTTTCCACATTGTATTTCCTTTCAAATTCAAGATGGGCAGAATGAGCATCCTGTATCCATTTAACATTCAGGTCACCGTGACCATGGGTGGAGCTTCCTGGCAGGGCTTGTTTTTCAGTTATGTTCCGTTATGACCAATCTTCTGAATGGTCCTTGTGATTTTCTGGGGCTAGAAGGATCTCTGCCATCTAAATTTTGCTTGACACTTACACTTCTCATAAGAGACTGTTGGGAAGGAGACTGGCAGCCAAAACGAGGTTTGCACATTATCTACGGATTCCCTTTCCCACCTCCAAACCAGCATAACTGAATGGTGAAAATGTGCTTTCTGCTGATGTGGATGGGTCAGAGTACTGCCTTGGTAAGAAGAGAACCTCCAAGGCAGTTCCCACAGCTGTTCCCTCTTTTACTAATATTCTAAGAAGTAGAGTTCTGAACACAAAAAATTACAAAGCTAAAAACTGATGGTGATAAATGAAGGCATAGGCTTCATGTGGAAATGAATGAAATAGAGAACAGAATCACAATAGAAAAAAGTCAAAACCCAAAATTGGTTACAAAATTGACAAACTTTTAGTTCGACTGACTCTAAAAAAGAGAAAAAAGACTTAAATTACTAAAATGAGAAATGAAAAAGAGAACATGACAACAAACCTTGCAGAAATACAAAAAAAAAAATTGTAAAGGAATGCTATGAACAACTGTGTGAAAGCAAAATAGGTAATTTAGATGAAGCAGACACCTGTCTAGAAACATGCAAACTATTCAAACTGATTCAAGAAGAAATGGAAAATACAAATAGACCTACCACAAGTAAAGAGAATGAATTAGTATTTTTTAAAAACTTCCTACAAAGCAAGCCTAGGTCCAGATGGCTTAACTGGTGAAGTCTAGCAAACATTTAAAGGATTAATACCAATTCTCCACAAACTTTTGAAAAGAAGAGGAGGGAATAATCTCCAACTCATTTTATCAGGCCAATATTACTCTAATACCAAACCAGACAAAGACATCATAAGAAAACTGCAGAATAGTATCTTTTATAAATATAGATGTAAAAACCTTTAACAAAATACCAGTGAATAGAACCCAGCAATAAATAAAAAGGAGTATACACCATGACTTGGACAGGGATGCAGGTTGGCTTAATGTGTGAAAATCAATTAATGTGATACACCACAGCATTAGAATAAGGACAAAACCCACATTATCATTTCAATTGATGCAGAAAAAGCAGTTGACAAAATTCAACACCCATTAATAATAAAAACAACAAACTGAGGCAGGAGAATTGCTTGAACCCGGGAGGCGGAGGTTGCAGTGAGCTGAGATTGTACCACTGCACTCCGGCCTGGCGACAGAGTGAGACTGTCTCAAAAAACAACAACAAACTAGAAACAGGAAGCCCTTGTCTTAACCTGATGAAGGGCAGCTACGAAAGCCCAAGCGAACACCATACTCTAGGAAAGACTAGATAATTTCCCCTGTCTGAGATCAGGAATGAGACAGGATGTCCATGCTTGCCACTTCTAGTCAACATTGTACTGGAAGTTGTAGCGAGGGCAATTAAGGAAGAAAATAAAATAAAATGCACCTAGGTTAGAAAGGAAAAAGTAAAATCATCTCTATTAGTATTAACAGGTGACACAATCTTGTATATAGGAAATCCTAAGGAATCTAAAAAACTATTAGGAGCAATAAACAATGTTTAGCAAACAGCATACAAGATCAATTTAAAAATCGGTTGTATTTCCATATACTTGCAATGAACAATCCAAAAATGAAATTAAGAAACAACTGTATTTGTAATAGCATCAAAAAGAATAGCACGTTTGTGAGCACACGTGTGCACGTGCGCACACACACACACACACACACACACACACACACACATTCAGGAATAAGCATTAACAAAAGAAATACAAACTTTATATCCTGAAAAATACAAACCATTGTTGAAAGAAAATAAGACAACCTAAATAAATGGAAAGATATCTCATGTTCATGGATCAGAAGACTTAATAATTTTAAGATGGAAATATTCCTCAGGTTAATCTAAAAATTCTATGCAATTCCTATTAAAATCCCAGCTGCCTATTTTTTTTTTCAGAAATGGACAAACTAATTCTAAAATTCAGATGGAAATTCAAGGGCTTGGGAGATAGAAGGGTGACAGCTAAGAGGTGCTGGGTTTATTTTGGGGGTAATACAAATGTTCCAATCATGGCGATAGGTGTACAACCATGCAAGTATATTAAAAAATCCACTGAAGTGCACACTTTCAATGGATGAATTATATAATTTCTGAATTATGTCTCAATAAAACAGTTTTTTAAAAAGCTGATCACGTGTATCCATGTGAACTCAACCCTGTGACTCAGTAGCCAGTGCTACTATGGGAATGCTCCCTTTAATGACTGCGTTTTCTGAGCTGCATTTTGCTTCTATATTCTCCTTGTACAGATGGGAAAGCTGACATTAGCAAAGTGACAAAATCTGAGTGGTTCAGGAAATGGAGAAACCAGCACTGTGAGCGTGTCTGCCTTCAAGGGGTAAGGCCGTACTGGGTGGCACCCAAAGAGACACAGAACTCCCACCACGTGTCAAACCGGACTCGGGAGGAAGAGGGTGAGAATGGAGTTCCTCAATGCACTTGACACCTTGGTTATTAAGAAGCAACTAAAGCAGGGGGAAACTCTAGAGTTTATTCTTATGATATAAATACCACTTAAAAATGAACCCCAAACCTGCTTCTAAATAGTTCATATTGAGGGGTCAGTGTTTTAGAAATGAGAGCATTGAAAATTGCTAGAACAGATGTTTTATGAATCCAGATAAAGACTAAAGAGTAAACACAGGCTGTGAATTAAGCAAACTCATGGTTCCACAAGGCTGTAGAAAAGGGGGATGAAAACGAAATTAAGATAAGCCTCAGGAAAAGGCTAAGAAGATGCTGACTCATACGAATCCACATAAGAAACACAAACTTACAAGAAGGTGACAAGAGAGAGAAATGCAAGGGTCAACTCAAGAGGATTATTAAGAGGTGGCAACCCTGAAGAAATGCTGACTCCTCTGAAAGTACAACAGTCATTTTCAGTTGTCTGAAATCTTGAGTTTCGGATGGAGAAAGCATCTATCTAGTCACGCCATCTCTATTAGTGTTTTCTCTGGGGCTTCAGAAGCAGCCACCTGCAGCCTCTCAGCTGTTTTTCTAATTTGAAAACATGGAAAAGGTCTTCAATATTTATTCATATGTGTTCCTCTTTCCTTCACACAGAGATTCTGAAAGCCATCATGTCTTGTCCTTATAAAAACAGGCAAAGGCCAGCGCGGTGGCTTACACCTGTAATCCCAACACTTTGGGAGGCTGAAGTGGGCATATCACCTGAGGTCAGGAGTTCAAGACCAGCCTGGCCAACATAGTGAAACCCTGTCTCTGCTAAAAATACAGACGTTGGCTGGGCATGGTGGCTCACGCCTGTAATCCCAGCACTTTGGGAGGCCGAGCAGGCGAATCACAAGGTCAGGAGATTGAGGCCATCCTGGCCAACATGGTGAAACCCTGTCTCTAATAAAATGCAAAAAATTAGCTGGGCGTGGTGGCACACACCTGTAGTCCCAGCTACTAGGGAGGCTGAGGCAGGGGAATCACTTGAACCTGGGAGGCAGAGGTTGCAGTGAGCCGAGATCGTGCTACTATACTCCAGCCTGGCAGCAGAGGGAGACTCCATCTCAAAAAAAAAAAAAAAAAAAATTAGCCAGGTGTGGTGGTGCACACCTATAATCCCAGCTACCTGAGAGGCTGAGGCAGGAGAATCATTTGAACCTGGGACGTAGAGATTGCAGATTGCCCCACTGTACTCCAGCCTGGGTAACAGAGTGAGACTCCATCTCAAAAATAAAAGAGCAGGCAAAGATAAAGGCTTGAATGGGAGGCATTGAGAATGAGTCAACAACCATTCCTGCCTCCCAGCCCTTCTCTTTGACTCTTCCTCCTCTGTCTGGCTTCCCCTGGCCTGGGGAAGGCTCATGCTAAGACTGCAGTGACTCTCTGGCCCATTTTCCTCCAAGGTGATCAAGTCTCAAATTTAAAACTTAAAAAGATAAAGAAGTTCTAAAGAGATGTCACTTCCAATCACTTGCAAATATTTGATTCTCCTTCTTATATCTAGTTCCATTTAGAACAAGATTTTAAACAAAAGGATCAATGAATTGCTGAAGAAAAGAAACGTTAGATGGGTGAGATCAATGTTACATGGCTTACAGATAGCCTTATTTCTGATTGCTGTCTGATGCTAAGGTCTTATAATAAATGGAATGAAAATTCTAAAAACCAATAGTGATGGCTGCAAATGGCACCCAAGCACTGAGATGAGAGCACTCCCCTACTTAAAATGTCCCTGCTAATGCACAGATATTTGCCAAAGTTATGAAAAGCAATGAGGAATCTCTACTAAACTGGAAAACAAGACTTGTTCATTTGATTTTCTTTTAGGGAAAAAGTCTACTCTTGTACTTCTCGTCATCCTTAAATTTTCCCAAGTTTCCCTCCCATCCCGTAATCTACAAGCGAGGACATCAACTTTCATACTTCTCTCCTGAGTAGACACGGGCTCTCCGAGTGAGAGTGTAGGTTTTTGTGTTTGCTCCTTTGCGGAGAGGATCGTCTAGAGGTGACTGGCATGGTGGATCCTCCAGAGGGTTCCAGTAGCTCTGCTCACACATACCCCGCAACAGGATCTCTGCCAGCTGCCTGGCTATTGTCTGGAAACATAAACGAGGAAAAGCATAGCCATGAAACTATTGTATTAGTCATTCTTTCATTCGGTCAGTCAGTCAATAAATATGTATATCATCACACCATGCTAAGCACTACTGTAAGGCTCATAATTAAAAATTTTTCTTTTATGATAATTATACCAGTTTGTGACAAAAAAAAAAAAGAAAATATGATTCACTAAGACGTTTGAAAACTTTTTTAAAAAAAGGTTCATGTACTTCAAATGCCACCCTATCTGTCACACTCTGGAATACCAAACATGCTTTAGACCTCAAACAACTGGAACTTTTGCCTATGCTCTTTCCCAAGAGCCCTTATAAATAACAGGTGAGCTGCAGATATTAGCATCACTAATGATGTGTGCTAAATCTCAAACCTGGCAAAAAGCTGGTACTCAACTTAAATAATACTATCCCTAAAAAATTCTCCTCACTGGCACTCTGACGTCCACTGCAGACATTCAGGACATCTTCCTTCTTAAATGTATCAATGTCAGGCCCTACATGTCCCACCCCCGAGGACTCAGCACCTGAGTGTCTATTCTCAGCACCTCCTGGGCTCCTGGCCCAGAGGTTCTCACTGGGCTTGTGCAATAGGGAAGGCAAAGTGGGAACATGGTTCCAGGTCAAGAAAGACCTTTCTTCAAAGCTGGATGGGTATCTCCTTCTTCACAGTGAAAACCCAGAAACATCTGGATCCTGTCCTCCAAATTAGATTAATTTGCTTTCCCAAACTTCTATAACCCCACTGCCTAAAACAGTACCATGTATAATGAATGTATAGAGGGGAAAGAATGCGTGGTATGTACTAAGAAGTGTTTTGTTGATTGAAGCATGTCAGCTCACTTAGCTTATACTCTTCCAGTAACAAAGAAGAGGATAAGTAATTTTTAAAAAATCCCTTTGAAAACAGAAGCACTACATCCCAGGGTAGTCTACTCTATCCACGATCAGCCAGAGGTGCCACAATAAACCAGCATGGTTTTCTACCAGAGTTCAGCATTCTTTGAAAGACGTAGACGAAGAATGCTGATCTTCTGAGAAGGAGCCTTTTTAAAAAAATAAGCAAATGTTTAGAAGAGAGCTCTGCTAAGCTTTTATCCATATGAAATCTCTTAAAACACCACAAGGAAAGTTAAATACAACAAAATCACTAACATAGTGCTTTCTGATAATCACTGGGTAAAGGCAAATTTTCTTGATTATTTCCAAATAAGACCCATTGGCATTAAGTGTCTATAAAAATGTGAAGTTAAATGCACTCTGATCATCCCCAACTGAACAATCTATAAAGATCTCATAAGAACACAATTTTCAGGACCTAAACAGCTCCTGAAATGTTTTCTTAAACCTTCCATTATAGTTTCATTTTGATCTCACTGCAGTCATATAAGCTAATGACTTTTGCTGAAAACTTCAACTGGAAAAAAATAACTTCCACTCACTATAGCTAAGAAATAAATGTTAAAAAGAAAAAAAATGAGCAAGGAACTTCATTTTCTGAATCTATCTGCCATGGAGGAATTTTAAACTCGTAAAAATTTCTGCCCTAAACAGTTTATTTGCTCACTACTAGATAACTCATGCTAGGTCTCATTTTCCCTCAGGGTATTAACCTTCCCAAAAGATTTTTTTTTAAATGGGGTTTTGATGTAATTGTATATTTTAAAGATATCACTTCATCAGTGTACTACCTATTAAGAAGGCCATTTGGCTCTGTCCCCTGAAAGTGCAAATGAAGTCCAGAAAAAACAATAAATACAAAAAATTACCAGCAAGATCACCAATATCTAGCACATCTTTTACTTTTTATACTCAACCTACATTTAGCCTGTGGTTTAAATGCTTCAAATTATTGGTAACTATAAAATAAATTCAGAATCAAAGGAGAGAAAGGTAGGAAGTGGGCCTGAAATAAGACCTGGATGTTTATGTACAAATTTTTGCCGCGCGCGCGCGCGCGTGTATATGTTAAAACTTGTGGTGAAATTCACATAACATAAAAGCCACCATTTTAATAAAGTCTACAATCCAATAGTATTCAAGAACTCACAATGTTGTGCAACCATTAGCACTATCTAGTTCCAGAACATTTTCATCACCCCAGAAGGAAACTCTATATCCTTTAAGCAATCATTCCCCATTTCCCCTCCCTCCCAGACTCTGGGAACAACTAATATGCCTTCTGGCTCTATGGACTTGCTTATTTTGGACATTTCATATAAATAAAAGCATGTGACATGGGTCTTTCTGTGACTAGCTTCCGTTACTTACTGTAAAGTTTCCAAGGTTCATCCATATCGTTGCGTATGTGCCAGTACCTCGCTCTTTGTTATGGCTGAATGATATGCCATTGCAGGAATATACCACATTTTGTTTACCCATTCATCAGTTTTAGATATGTGGACTGTTTCCAACTTTTGCTACCATAAATAGTGCTGCTATGAACATCCATGTACAAGTTTTTGTTTGTACACCTGTGTTTGTTTGTTTGTTTTGAAACAGGGTCTCACTCTGTCACCCAGGCTGGAGTGCAGTGGTACAATTATAGCTCACTGCAGAACACCTATTTTTAATTATTTGGAGTATATACCTAAGAGTGGAACTGTTGTAAATATACTTTTAAATCTTTCTCTGATATGGTCTCACACCAGATAAAGTTTACAAAGCAATTTTTCCATCTCATAAGAATATTATAAATGTACAATTATCAGCTCATCTAAAAACAATTATAGTCATTAAGGCTGTTGGAAACACTGTCTTATGAATGTCATTAGCTGTAGAAACTTTCTAATGTCCAGTGTAAATCAAGAAACCAGTTAGAGTCAACAATATGAAAAAATGCTCCAAATTTAAGAAATTTTAGGCCGGGTGCGGTGGCTCAAGCCTGTAATCCCAGCACTTTGGGAGGCCGAGGCGGGTGGATCACGAGGTCAAGAGATCGAGACCATCCTGGTCAATCTGGTTTCACATGGTGAAACCCCGTCTCTACCAAAAAAAAATACAAAAAATTAGCTGGGCATGGTGGTGCGTGCCTGTAATCCCAGCGACTCAGGAGGCTGAGGCAGGAGAATTGCCTGAACCCAGGAGGCGGAGGTTGCGGTGAGCCGAGATCGCGCCATTGCACTCCAGCCTGGGTAACATGAGTGAAACTCCGTCTCAAAAAAAAAAGAAAGAAATTTTGAAAGGCTGGCTTTAAAACAATTACAAAAACACTTGCCAATTCAGTCAGTTACTCTCATTGCGCTTCCAAATCTTGGAAGAAGCTGTTCATATTGACCAGTTGGAAAGGTTTATGAAATACTGAGAGTAGGTAAATTTGAGAAAGAAGACAGCTGGCGACAATTATTATCCATATTCTTGTAGTTTCTTTCGCCTTGAAGAATCCTAAAAATGGAAATATTTTGTTTGAACTTCTTAAGGTGCCTATAAATCGCATCAACATATAAGTAAACTTTGAAGGCCAAGTGAGTTCTTGGTGGTGGTGGTGGCGGGGTGTGTGTGTGTGTGTGTGTGTGTATGTGTGTGTGTGAAGCTGCCCATCCTGTCTCACCCCCATAATTCTAGGAAAGCCCAGCTTGGCCATCTGGCCCCGTGAGTTGTGTGTCTACATCTTAAAACTCCGGAGATACCACAATGAAGTCATTTCCTGTGACGTGAATCTCTTAGCCTTGCCCAACTGAATTATCTCCCACAGCATTTAAAGGATTCATGATAAAGAAAGGACAAAAGCATGGGCGACAAAAGATAAATTGCAATCTCACATGAGGTTGCTGCATCAACTGTGACATGTGGCATTTGCTTAGTGTTTAATAAGCACCAGTCCTCCACTCAAACACCTACTGGCTATGGCTCTGGAGGGCAAGTTATAGAGGTCTGCCTAATGAACGTCCCTAGATAGGAAAGTAAAGGATTAAAAAGGAAAAGAAAGAATTCCAGTCAACAGGAGAGCCAAATTGCTAACCAACCGGTTCATTTAACTATGTTTTATAGTTCTCTTCCAAGTTTTACGGTTAATATAATTAGCCAAACAACAAGCGCCCCTCAGGATCCAATCTGCCTCATTCTGTCTGGGTTTGGTATGAATCATAAGCATACACCAACCCCTCAACACCCTGGCAGCCAGGAGGGCCTACATTCTACCTGCCTTAACAGGTGCATTCTCATGTTTCAGCAGAGAAAGCTGCCAACAACACAGGAAAGAATGCTCAGAACCATTAGCCATCAGAGAAGTGCCAATCAAACCGCAATGGAATATGACCGCACTCCCACCAGGATGGTCACACCTAAAAAGATAATAGCAACTGCTGGTGAGGGTGTGGAGAAATCGGAACCCTCATAACTGCTGGTGGGAATGTAATATGGTACAGCTGCTTTGGAAAACAGTCTGGCAGCACCTCAATTGTTAAACACAGAGTTACCATATGACCCAGAAATTCCACTTCCCAAGAGAAAGAACTCCTATGTCCACACAGAAACTTGTACGTGAATGTTCATAGCAGCATTACTTGCAATTGCCCAAAAGTAGAAACAACCCAATGCCTATCAGCTGATGAATGGATAAATAAGTGTGATATATCCATACGATGGAATATTATTTGGCAACAAAAACGAAAGAAATACCGATCATGCTGTGACACAGGGGAGCCTTGAAAGCATTATGCTAAGTGAGGAAAGTCAGTCACAAAAAGACCACAAATTAGCCAGGTGCGGTGATGCGCACCTGTAGTCCCAGCTACTCAGAGGCTGGGGTGTGAGCGGAGACTGTGTCACTGCACTCCAGCCTGGGCAACAGAGCGAGACTCCATCTCAAAACAAAAAAACAAAACCACAAATTGTGTCATTTCAGCCTCAAGAAATGCCCCAAATAGGTAAATCTATAGAAACAGAAAATAAGTCTACAGCCATGCCACCCTCAATGTGCCCGATCTCGTCTGATCTCGGAAGCTAAGCGGGGTCGGGCCTGCTTAGTACTTGGATGGGAGGCCTCCTTGGAATACCAGGTGCTGTCGGCTTATCAAAAAAAAAAAAAAAAAAGAAACAGAAAGTAAATTAGTGGTTGCCAGGGCCTAGAGGGAGGAGAAAATGGGGACTGACAACTAACAAGTACAGAGTTTCTTTTGGGGGCGATTAAGATTTCCTGGAGTTAAACATTAGTGATAGCCAAACAACTCTATGAATATGTTAAAAGCTTTAAATGGGTAAACTGCTATTTATAGATTATAAATATATGTCACATATGTATCCATTATGACACAGAAGTGAAAGGCTTGCTCAAGTTCACAAGCCCAGTGACATATGTTTATAATGCATGTCATATATATTTATAACACGTAAACGTAAAAGCGTATGAACATGAATACCCCCGCTGGCCTCAGTCAAGTCACTGGTCACACTCACCATTCGCAGGTTTTGAGTCGTTCTTGTCTCAACTGCTCTGAGGAGCTCTCTAAATCTTCCAACTCCTCTTGTCAAGTTCCTGCGTGCACACAGAATTTGATGGTTTTCATCCGGCATGTATTAATATTAAATATTGTATATGCATGTTTCAGCGCATTTTGTCTGCATAAAAGCTGTTGGCTAGATTTAAAGCAAATGATTACTCCGCACGTGTTTAGCCGTCTTTGGTTAAATGAAAAATTTGACCTAAGATTGGTGGCCTTTTCTGTTTTCTAACCCCTGGCACATTTTCTCTAAAAAATAAAAAACTGAAGATCAGTTGAGGCCAACAAATTAAAAAGCAAGATCCCTTAGAAGAGCCTGTGTTCAAACTCTCAGTGGCTCTGTCGAGTGGGAATGAATAGTAGATTTTCATTTAAAAGATGGGAGACAACACTGACAAAAGGGCCCGGGAATATGAGCAAGCCACTGTGTGCAACGTGGGCCAAGATAGAAACACGAAGATGAAAGGTACAACAGAACAGGAACTCTATCAAGCAATCATGTGGCATCTTTAAGAACGTAAATTTATCAAAACCCAGTAAATGCCTCAAACCAACCCTCCTCCAAACCCCACACTGACAAAAAGAAGCAAAGGGTCAGAGGTTCCTTCTGAGAGTGAGTGCATGACAGCTGGGACCCGAGCTTCCTGAGTGTGAGCAGAGCCCATCTCATCTCACTGCCACTCACGTCCCACAGGGACACATTTGGTGACACATCTCATTAAGGGACAAATAATTCTTCTGTAACATCCTGGTCAATATTTTGAAGCCCCACTTGTCCTCTCTGAAAGCTGCGTCCAGCCTGTTCAGCTGGGAACGCCCCCCAGCCAGGCCCTCTACATAAGCGCTGCCACCACCTATGACATAACTAGGTGATATTTATAACCTGCTCATCAGAACATATCTCATCTTTCCAAAAAGCCACAGCGGGGGTCAGCCGGTGCAAACATGTCAGCTAGCCTCTGCAGGCTGTGGCAGATGCTCGAGGTATTTGGCTCTCTTCTTGGTGACATTTTGAATCACGCAAAGGTATTAAATCAAGCTGAATGTGGGTTCTGTAAGTTACAGGCCCTCGTGAGGGCTATTAATTCGCATCTTATACCTACATGACATCCCAGGGCTCTCATTCACAAGAATGGCCCCAGAACTTAAAGATACTGGCTTATTGGCATAGGTACATAAATACTCCCATAGTCCTCTCATCCACTCCTATCAGATGATATCTGAACAGAAGCTTGATGGTGGCATAAAAAGAAAAGCTGTGTTCCAGACGCCAAGCAGCACTAAAGGAAACCTAACCGAGACGTGAATAAACCTGGGACATGCAATCTACTCTGCTTTTTCCTTCATTTGTTTTTATGGGATCCATGTTCACAGGCAACAAAGTACATTTGCTTTGGACTGAAGCTCAGTTCTCTTAAGTAACATGGAGGGAAGGGAACAGCTACAGTAAACAAGGGATGGAAATGGATATGGCAGTCTAACTTTGCTCCAGAATCACGGGTTAAACTCCTACTAGGTACAGAAGGAACGGTACTTGGAATTGTATGAAATAAGATGTGACCAAGGCAACATAACTGCAGACCCTGGTTGCAGGGGCTGATTTACCAGGTAGAAATCAGGTGTCGAATAAGTGGTATCAAACCTAAATATTATAACCCAGGGAAGCCTACAAATAGGAACTAATCATTCAGAATGTTTCCAGTGTCCTAGGAAACAGAATGAGCTACTTAGACAGTTACAGAGGCACAGAATTTTCCAGCTATAAATGATCCAACAGAATCTGGTCCATTATAACACAGAAGTAAAGGGCTCGCTCAAGTGAGAGAGTGAGCTGGGAGCTTTCGACCATTCTCTGCTATCTTCCTTGGTACACAGAAGCTCTAAAACAGAAGTGTAACTCCAGAGAAAGGAACAAAATACGAATCTAAGAGTTCAGGTCTATGTTTTGGATCATTAATATGCAAATTACTTCATGTATTTATAACATAAATTCTGTGTGCCCCAGTGATGACAGCTAATGAGACACTCTCACTCATGACTGGTCCAAAACTGGAAAGAAAATCCGCTGGTCCAGGTGAAGAAGTCCAGTGAATGCGGGTAAAAAGAGATCAATGACGGATAGAGAAATTCAATTCCCTGTTAAGGTGCAAGAGGGTTTCTGCCGCGCGGGACCGAGGCCCTCTGGTGGAGGAACGGAGGAAGTCTCCGGCCCTGAGGGAGGCCAGGCGGGATGAGGCAACACAGCCACTGGGTGCGTACTCCCAATTAAGCCTTCGAAGCAAATACAAGTTTTTCTCAAACTGTTTTTAGTTTATTCCTGGAGAGAGTTTAGGAAGAATCCTGCTTGTAAGCAAAGAAGCCACAGTAACCACAGAGCGGAGAAACCCGAAGCTATAGCCCACTGCAATGAATGTGGCACCCAGAAGGGTCCCCGCCCCACCACGGATCAATCCGACAGCAGAAAGAGGTGAAACAGGCACATCTTAAAGTGCCCAATGCGAAACACAATTCTCAGGAAAGGCTGTGTCATCCAAATGTGTTTAAATCACATAATTTTATTCAACTAATCGCTTCCACTGTTGCCATGAGAGCAGAAAAAGAAAAACGTTAAAGTACATGAATAATCAGAACAAAAGAAGGAAGTTAACTTGCAAGAATTCCATTCCAAATGCTATGAGATAACCCAGTTTGAGAGCGGCAAACAAAACCCACATGACTGCCTTTATATCTCCAAACTGTTCGTTTATTCTTATAATGTTGAGATCAATTAAAAAATCTAGAAGGAGCTGTTGCTTAAAACGCCACTTCAAAATGAAGATAAGAGAGCCAAGGAATCTCCCAATCTCCCTGTTTTTTGAGGGTTTCCACAGACCGTTGACATTAGGTCATTTATTCCATGTCAACACCCTTGCCTGAGACAGTGCAATGATGTCAGAATTCATTATGGTAAACTATTCTCAAAACAAATGTTCCTGCCAGCATTCCCGCAGCAGGCACTCTGGCAAGCTGTCAGAACTTGGGGTTCATCTCCTGCACTTTGCTGCACAAGCTTCCTGAGCTGGGTGCATTTCCTTCCACGTGGAATGGTTCCCAACAGCTCGGCTGGGACCAAGGAGGAAAGGGCCTGCGGGTCCCCAGAACACCAGCTGCTCGTTCCACCTGACAGGCAGACAAAGCTCTGCTTTCGCTCACCAATATCACGGTCCTCAGCCCATGATGGAGTGCTCAGGCCACAGTCCCACAGGCTTGCTCTCATTCAAATCCTTGCTCTCTTGTTGGCAGGAAAGCCTACCACTTTTCATGCGGACAGAGTCTACTCTTCCCTTGACCCACTTCCATCCTTTCTTCTATCTTTTGCATCTGGTTTCATCCTCCTCCTGCTGAGCCTCCTTCCGGGGCTTGTCTGCTGACTCGCCAGCACTCGACCCTCCCTCTTGACCCTCTATCCTGGCAGTGGGCACCCGTTCCCCCGTGGGCACCACGGCGACAACTCTCCAGACTGGTCTCTGAAATGGACATTCTAACATAGGGGCTTATGCACCTGGTTAGTTCCTGTTCTATGACTCTGAACCACATTCTCAGCTCTTTAATATTGCCATCTGCCCCTCTGTAATCAAACCAAGGGGGAAATCTAAATGGGAAGAAAGCCAGAGCGCCAAAATCAAAATGGAAAACCAAGTCTAGGAGAAACTTGGGGACTCGAGAATCGCTTCAGCTTGTGATGGGTGGTTATCTAAATAACGAGCTCAAAACGTTTGTCGTTGTGGTTATTGTTTCTTCTCCTTTTATTTCTTGAGACTGGGGTGAGAAAAGACGATTCTTCCCTTTCACTTGTCCTTCCAAATCATCTTCAGACCCCAAAATCTGACCCGGCACCAATACACTTAAATTCAATATCACCTGTCATTGTTGTGCAAACTCAAAGTAGTGGTGTGAATAAAAGACTTTTTCTACTGGATGTCAAGTTCCTGCGTAATGAGGAAAAGGTATCCCTGTCAGAGTCTATTCAATATTTTTTTCTCCTCTGTGGCCGAGAGTTTTATAACTAAAGATCAAAGACAGCAAGTCAACCCAGTAGATCTCAAAGAGCAAAGAAACCATCTGCCTTTCTCCGTGTTTTCTTCTCACCAACTAGCGCTCCTGAAACGCTTAAGCAGTAGGTTACTTCAACAATTACTGAGCAATGTTTCACAGCAGGGGCCAGGTTGGTCCCTGGGGACACACTGCTGAGCAGGGGACACCATCCCTCCCACAGGGAGCTTAGATGGTTTCACATCGCCCACCAGAATGTAAGTGCCTCCAACACAGAGACCTTGGCTTTATTCACCAACATAACCCAAGCCTCTGAAACAGAGCCTGGCACACAGGAAACACTCAATTACTATTTGGTGAATGAAAAAGGACCATCATGAACCGAATGAACCAAGACCACAAAGGGATACATTCCCTCCTGTTTCTTTTCTTTTTTTTTTTTTTTTGAGACAGTCTCACTCTGTCGCCTAGGCTGGAGTGCAACAGTGAGACCTCGACTCACTGCAACCTCTGCTTCCCAGGTTCAAGCAATTCTTTCTCAGCCTCTTTTGTAGCTGGGATTAAGACATCTGCCACCACACCAAGCTAATTTTTTTGTATTTTTAGTAGAGGCAGGGTTTCACTATGT